ATCATCATCATCATCATCATCATCATCATCATTACCATCCTTACCATCATTATCATCATCAGTACCATGTTTATCAGGACCATCATCACCAGCCTTGGCATCATCAGCATCATCAGCATCGTCGCCAACAACAGCAACATCAGCATCAGCATCAGCATCAGTGTCGCCATCATCATCATCATCATCAGCAGCATCATCAGCATCATCATCAGCATCATCATCATCGTCGTCATCGTCATCATCATCAGCAGCAGCATCATCATCAGCATCGGCATTATCATTATCATCACCATCATCAGCATCATCATGAGCAGCATGAGGATCAGCATCAGTATCACTAGCGTCATCACCATCATTATCATCATCATCACCATCATCATCATCATCATCATCATCATCATCATCATCATCATCTTCGTCATCATCAGCATCATAATCATTATCATCAGCATCGTCATCGCCATCGGAATCATCAGCATAATCATCATCATCATCAGCCTGATCATCAGCATCAGCATCGGCAGCATCATCATCACCATGATGATGATCATCATCATCATCATCATCATCATCATCATGAGCATCATCCTCATCCTCATCAGCATTATCATCATCACCATCACCATCACCATCACCACCACCACCACATCACCATCACCATCACCATCACCATCACCATCACCATCACCATCACCATCGCCATCGCCATGATCATGATCATCATCATCATCATCATCATCATCATCATCATCGTCATCGTCATCATCATCATCATGATCATCATCATCATCATCATCATCATCATCATCATCATCATCATCATCATCATCATAATCACACGATCCGTGGCCCCATCAAGATCCACCGAAAGCCCTAGTGGTAGGGTTCCCATGGCGGCCCCGCCCCATTTCGGCACACCCCTCACGCGCTTCGTCGCCCCATAGGGAGCTCCACCGCAGGACCCAGTGGCAGGGTTCGCATGGCGGCCCCGCTCCATTTCGGCACACCCCTCACAACTTTCGTGGGCCCAAAGGGAGCTCCACCGACGGCCCCCGTGGCAGGGTTCGCATCCCACTTCGGCACAACCCTCACGCGCTTCGTGGCCCTATAAAAGCTCTCTCATCGCAGTTGCAGGGTTCGCATGGCGGCCCCGCCCCATTTCGGCACACCCCTCACACGATTCGTGGCTCCCTAGGGAGCTCCACCACTGGCCCCAGTGGCAGGGTTGGCATGACGGTCCCGCCCCAATTCGGCACACCCCTTACACGATTCGTGGCCCCATCAAGATCCACCGAAGGTCCCAGTGGCAGGTTTCACATGGCAGCCCCGCCTCATTTCGGCACACCCCTCACACGATTCGTGGCTCCCTAGGGAGCTCCACCACAGTCCCCAGTGGCAGGGTTGGCATGGCGGTCCCGCCCTATTTCGGCACACCCCTCACAAGTTTCGTGAGCCCAAGGGGAGCTCCACCGAAGGTTCCAATGGCAGGGTTCGCATGGCGGCCCCGACCCATTTCGGCACACCCTTCACACGTTTCGTCGCCCAATAGGACCACAGGAGCTCCACCGCAGGCCCCTGTGCAGGGTTCGCATAGCACCCCCGCCCCATTTCGGCACACCCCTTACACGTGTCGTGACCCAAATAGGAGCTTCGCCGAAGGCCCCAGTGGCTGCGTTCGCATGCGCCCGCAGCGCCCATTCTGGCACACCCCTGACGCGCTCCGTAGCGCCATAGGGAGCTCCACCGAAGACGATACTCACAACTGTGTTACTCACAACTGCATTCGGTTGGGTCCTTCGCCAAGTTAATAGTTTTCGAGCCATCGCTATTTTGGGCTTCCCACATCCGACGACTGCCCCCGAGGCCTCCAAGATAGCCCCACGACGTCCCACAACATAAGCCCCAGTTTTGTCCGCGAGGAGGGCCCCAAGACGGCCCAAGAGGCCCCCAAGGCGGCCCCAAAGATTTTCAAAACGGTCCTCAAGCGCCCAAAGAGGGCCCCACGACGGCAGGGGCCCCCAAGACGGCCCCTTCCAGGCCACAAAGAGGCCCCTAAGAGGTCTCAAGAGGCCTCAAGAAGCCCCCGAGAGAGGCCCCGAAGAGGCCTCGCTTTTATCACCTCCTTCTTATCCTCCTCCTCCTCCTCCTCCTCCTCCTCCTCCTTCTCCTCCTGCTCCTTCTCTTGCTATCTCTTCCTCTCACAAGCGCTTCCCCACTATAATGGCTGGGGAACACGTGGTCCAATAGCTTGGCAAGACTTCGGCCTAAAGTTCGGCAACATTGGCATTTCCGAAAGGCAGGGGCCGGCGGTTGTTACCTTTTGGCGTTTTCGACAAATTACCCTGGCGACGTACCCAACCCCTGCGCAATGCGGGGCATGAGTAGCTTGGGAGACGATCTACGGAGGTGATGACGTGACATGGGCGCACATACTTCTGCGAGCGGCATTCGTCAGATTCGCAACGCCCCAGGATTGCGAGGTCCCGCTCAGATCTGCGTGGTGCCTCACTCCGCTGGACCCGCCACCAGCCTTCGAAAATAGTGACGGTTTCGCAGATCGCAGCCCCCCAAGGACGGCGAGGTCCCGCTCAGATCTGCGCGGTGCCTCATTGCTGGACCCGCCAGCAGCCCTTGAAAGTGGCAACGGTTTCGCAAATCGCAGCCCAAAGGACGGCGAGGTCTCGCTCAGATCTGCGCGGTGCCTCACTACGCTGGACCCACATTCAGCCCTCGAAAGTGGTAACAGTTTCGCAAATCGCTATGCTGTTTCCCACAAGCAGCCCTCGAAAGTGGCGACAGAGTTTCGCAGATCGCAGCCTCCCAGGGATGGGGAGGTCAAAGTTGGATCTGCGGTGGCTACCCACCATAGCTGCCCCCCCAAGAAGCCCTCGAAAGTGGCGACAGTTTCGCAAATCGCATCCCCCTCCAGGGATGGCGAAGTCTACTTTGGATCTGCGGCCGCTACCCACTATGCTGGCCCCCCAAGCAGCCCTCGAAAGTGGAGACAGAGTTTCGCAAATCACAGCCCCCCAAAGGGATGGCGAGGTCTCAATGGATCTGCGGCGGCTACCCACTATGCTGGCCCCCCAAGCAGCCTTAGAAAGTGGCGACAGCGTTTCACAAATCGCAGCCTCCCAGGGATTGGGAGGTCTACTGTGGATCTGCGGCGGCTACCCACTATGCTGCCCTCGAAATCGGCGACAGTTTCGCAAATCGCAGCCCCCCCAGGGATGGCAAGGTCTAATTTGCGAGCAGCCCTCGAACATGGCGACAGAGTTTCGCAAATCGCAGCCCCGTAGAGATGGCGAGGTCTACTTTGGATCTGCGGCGGCTACCCACTATGCGCGACAGTGTCGCAAATCGCAGCCCCCCAAAGGGATGGCGAGGTCTACTGTGGATCTGCGGCGGCTACCCACTATGCTGCCCTCGAAAGTGGCGACGGTTTCGCAAATCGCAGCCCCAGGGATGGCGAGGTCTAATTTGGATCTGCGGCGGCTGCCCACCATAGCTGGCCCCCACAAGCAACCCTCGAAAGTGGCGACAGAGTTTCGCAAATCGCAGCCCCCCACAGGGATGGCGAGGTTTAACTTGGATCTGCGGCGGCTACCCACCATAGCTGGCCCACCCAAGCAGCACTCGAAATTGGCGACCGTTTCGCAAATCGCAGCCCCCCAGGGATGGTGAGGTCCACTGTGGATCTGCGGCGGCTACCCACCATGCTGGCCCCCCCCGAGCAGCCCTCTAAAGTGGCGACAGTTCCACAAATCGCAGCCGCCCCCCCCAGGGATGGCGAGGTCTACTGTGGATCTGCGTCGGCTACCCACTATGCTTGCCCCCCTAGCAGCCCTCGAAAGTGGCGACAGTTTCGCAGATCGCAGCCCCCCAGGCAAGATGCACACACAAGAGGTACCGCAGGCACAAGAGGTACGCACAAGTCAAGAGGAGACAAGAGAGAGGCGAGAGGAGGAGGAGAAGGAGACGCGACCGCAGTGCTCTTTTCAAAACGAATGCCCAACCAAGGAAGGTTGGGAATAAATCCCCCGCGTCGCGCCATACATATGTCACCGGTAGAGGAGTCTGGGCGTCTGGGCAACCTTGGGCAAAAACCATAGCGCACCAACATGTAACGGCGGACTGCGACCTCGCGGGACAACCATAAAACATCACTCCATAGGGCACCATAGAGCCCCGAGCGGGAACGGCCGATTTCGACAACGCGCGCCAACCAATGGGCAGCAACGCATGCGGAATCCGCCACAGGGCAACAACTGGGAACTGTCAAATGCGATGACGCGGGCCAGTTCCTTCGAACCCGGGCACGAGCTTTTATGTAAATGCAACTTGGGCTTGGGATCTAAAAACGATCGTTCCCAAACCGTGGCTCTTCCCATACCGTCACGCATGCTCGTCTCAAAGCCTTTCAAGTGCTACAGAGATTGAGGCCGAATGCTGATTCAAACTCAGTTTCTCGCCGTTCTTCTTTAATGTTTCCAGCAACGACACGGATGGGCGGTTCCTTTTCAACATTTGGCCCTCGTTGAACAACCCGTTGCCTTTATGTTCGGCAGATGAGCGGTGCCAACAGTTAAGCACGGTCATGTTGCAGAAACTTGTCTATCTGCAACCACTGCGCAGGAGGAGGGGGACTCCTCTTCCAAACGGGGCTCTCCCTGAACGCTCCGCTCCCATGCCAGATCCTACCTCTTTGCACTTGTTTTTCTTGCCGGGTCTATTTCAAAACGGACGTCCGTGGCAGGCCCATGGAGCGCCCGCATTTCAATTTGGCCATCCCACGAGGTGGAAAACGCTGGCTGCCAAGACTCACAAGGACGGTGCTTGGGAAGGGAAGGCGTCTTGCAGTGTCGTGGATTACCGGGCTTGCTTTGGTTTTTCTCCGCCTCCCCCTCCTCGCCCCCTTCTCTTTGAAGAATGGTGCACCGTGCACTCAGACACTCGCTCGCATTCCACAGAAACCGATGGCTCACAAAATCGGCAACAACTTGACGAGAGAGACAAGACCGTGGCATCAAGGCTTGGGGACCGCCGAGACGCTCGTTTCCAGTTAAGGGTGCGGACGAGGTGTAGCTTGTCCAAGGGTGTGAAACTGGCGCAAAAGCTGGACGCGACATACCACAAGCAACTCTGTCAGAACAACGCTGTGCCCCGACAATCGGCCCGGCTCACGGCCGTCTGCCCTCTGCCCCGCGCTTTGTCGGGCGGCGCTGGGGCGAAGAAGCTCATCCTGCCGGCAACGGCGCTGCCAACTGCCAAAGCTGGCTGCGATGCTGGCTGCCAGGCTGACGGCTAGCCTGCCGGCCGCTGGCGCCTTTGCCGGCCTCGGGCAGTCTCAGAGCGCTGGCGCGGACCTGGCGCCGCAACCTGCGCGGACGATGCGAGGGAGGCAACACAGCTGCAGCCGGTGCCGCGGGGCTTGGGGCCGGCGCCGCGACGTGGGCGCGGCGGCGTGCTGGAGGAGAGGCAACTGGGGCGCCCGGGGAATCTCGGGGCACGAGGCGGCGGCGCCCGCGCAACCTCGATCGCTGGTTTCGCAGGTGGAGGTGCGCGTTGCTCCCTGGCTGCCACGGCTCGCTTCGCGGACCGTCCTTGCCGACTGCCGCGACGAGCTGGTTGCGCTCGACGGCGCCCTCGATCCGACCGCTGACCGCCACCGCTCCAATCCGCGATCGATCTTCGACGGTGGCTTCCCGGCGTTCCAGCTGTCCAGGAAGGCAACCTCCTTGTAGCTCAGGAAACGCCTACCTGTCGTTTCGTCCCTCTCGCCGTCCACGTCAAGACTATCGAAGAGCAGCCGCGCAGAACCCTCAGATTCCCACTTCAACCTCTTGCACACGCATCGCAGCTCCGTGTAGGAGAGGGTACCCGAGCTGTTAACGTCGATAGCCTTGAAGGCGCGCTCAATTGAGCCGTACTTCTGGTCCACGAACTGCTTGAAGGAGTCCAACAATGCAGCGCTGTCTGGGTCGAACTCTTGGAGGCTGATTGTTCCAGAATTGTCCACGTCCAATACTCGCCATGCCCCAGCGATGTTCGCTGTGGGATCTAGCGCCTGGCAGGCCTCATTGAACTCGGCCCAGGAGATCGCATTGGAGTCGTCCTTATCCAGCGTGCAGCGCCACGCGTGCAGCGGGTGGTGGTACTCGGAGACCATGAGCTCGCGCAGCCGCTGCCAGGCCTCTGGGTCGGGCTCTGCAAGGAGCCACGGGCGTGGCTCCCACTGGTCCAGCCACTCCAGGTCCGAGCGGTCGACTACACCGCAATTGTACAGGTCCAGGGCGGCGAGAAGCGACGCGCGAGAGCCGGAGGATGTCTCACGCAAGGTAGGACAGCCGAGCGAGAGGAGGGCGTCGGCGAAAGTGTTGAGAAGCATCTTCTTGTCAGAGCTCCAGCAGCCGTTGCCCCGGCAGCCCTCACGCGCCTCCACCACCCGCTGGTGGTGCCACACAGCCGCGCACGAGCCGAAGTGGCCGCACGCCCAGCGCTGGAACTTGAGGAGGACCGCTGCGACCTCTGGGCACAGATCGTCCAGCCCAACCGCTCCATCCGAATCGAGGTCCAGCGATTTCCACAATGCTGCCACGTCCAACCGCACCCCCGCTCTTGAGCAGTACCGGCGCAAGGCGCCCTGACGCACCTCGAATTCGCCGTCCGGGTCCAACACGGCACGCCACGCACGGACCTCGTTGCCGTGAGTAGAGCGCAGATGCTTGACAAACGCCTTGCGGGCCTGCACGCGCCTGGCCTCCAGACGCCAGTGCCGTGCCTTGCGCTTCTCGCAGACCGCCACAGGCAGACTGCGCTCCACGCTGCCCGCGAGCCAGGGGCGGGGCGCGAGGCGGTGCTTCGGGGGCACGCCCTGGCCGTCTCGGTAGTTGGCGAGAAGGACGACCTGCTGCCGGTTCTTGGACTCCAGCCTCTGCTTGAAACGCCCCAAGCCCCGGATGCGCTCGCCGGGCGCCCCCAAGAAAGAGAGGTCCTCGAGGCCGACGAAGCCAGAGCCGTCTACGTCGCAACACTGGAACAGCTCCACCATCTCATTCTCGCACGCAGCGAACTCGTACCTCGCCAGCGCGGCCACGAACTGATCCTGCGGGACTTCGCCTACACCCTTTACGTCGAAGGCCTGGAACATTTTCTCGGGCCCCCCGAAGACGTCAGCTATCCAGCTCCGAAGCCGCTCCACGAGCTCTCCCGCCTGCGGGTCGAGGTCAGCAAGCCTCAGCGGGGGGGTGGCGTTGCTTTCGCTGCAGGCGAACAGCGGCAATGGATCGCCTTCCATCTTCAAGCGCGCCGCCACCCGTCGCAACTGCGGGTAAGTGACTTCCAGCACCCCGTCCGGGTCGACCTCGCGCCTCCATCCGCGCAACAAGCTTCCATGCGCCCGCGCCGCCAGTGCCGCCGTCAAGCTCGCGGCGTACGTAGCGCGGACTGGGGAGGGGAGGCCGAGCTTCCAGCCGCTCAGCAAGCTTCCGCCTGCCTGCGCTGCCAACGCCGCCTCTGTGCCCGCAGAGCCAGCGTGCGCCGACCGAGGAGGGCCGCGAACCTCCATGGGCGGGCCGTCCAGGCCGCGCAGGCGGGCACAGCGCTCACGGCATGGCCCCGCGAACGGCCGCCTCGGCCCGACGGCGGGCCTGAGCCAAAACGGCTACGCAGGAGGAAGACGAGAGAGGTCTCGACGGTAGTCGCCCGAGCCTCCAGCAGCATAGCAGTGGCCGCCTCTGCAAGAAAGGGTGGATCGCTGGGCTACTCGTGGACCAGACTGGCACATACGATAATCTCGATGCTGCTTGCCAGTGTGGACCCCGAGCAGTAAGCTCTTTCACGCTGGATGTATTGGCTATGTGGCGCAAGCTATGTGGTGCAATCCACTCTGCTGAACTTGAAGTCGTCATCTCCACTGCTCGCGCAAACATCCCACCCACCCACCCGCAACTTGGTTTGCAAAACCTGTTAAGACCGACTACGACGACACCGACGACAACGACTAGGACGACACCGACGACGTCTCCGACGACTTCGACGACGACGACGAAGACGACGACGACGACGCCAACGAACGCGACGACGATGGAGGAGGAAGGACGACGACGGCGACAACGACGACAACGACGAGGGCGGAGGGAGGACGGCGACGACGCGAACGACGACGAAGGAGGAAGGACGGCGACGCCGACGACGACAACGACGAGGGAGGAGGGAAGACGACGACGACAACGACGACGACGACGACGGCGACGAAATAGGAGGGACGACGACGAGACGCCGACGACGGACGACGACGACGTGGGAGGAGGAGGAGGAAGGACGACCACGGCGACAACGACGACGGAAACGACCACGACGCTAAAGAGGACGACGACGACGAACACGAGAAAAGACAGAGGACGATGTAGGTGACGACGACGACGACGACGCAGGAGGAGGGAGGACGGCGACGACGACGACGACGACGCAAGAGCGCGCGCGCACGCTTGCTTTTGTTGAAAATCCGTGTTGCGAAACCTTTGGTTTTTGTAGGTTTTTGGACGCGCGATTTTGAAATCCTTCCGAAACCGATGGGTTGTCAAGGTTTTCGGCGTACGCCCGCGACGACGTGCGCGTCTGCACTTCGTCCCATTTTTTTGCAAAGGATTCTCGCGACGGCACACGCGCAAGGGCGTTCGACAGATTTCGACATGCGCGCGCGCGAAGCCCGTTTGGTAGCATTTTGTGAAAATCTGGAAAAACCTATGGGTTTCTTAAGATTCCGCAGAAACTCGCGCGGAATCTTTTTTAGCAAATCACTGTTGCGAAACCATGTGTGTTTTGTTTGTTTTTTGGAAACTCGATTGCGAAATCCTTCCGGCACCGAAGGCTTTGAAGGATTTCGGCATGCGCGCGCGACGTCGCGCGCGCGTGCACTTCGTCCCATTTGTTGCGAAAGATTCGTGAAACAGTGTGATGCTAGAACAAAAAATGTCACCGCAAAGTGTTTTCTTACAAGGGAACCTCAGGGGGGGGGAACCCGGCCTGGCTGGGATGATATGGTTTCATATTTAGGATGGACGAGTGTACATATATATATATATATATGAAATTATACTATCCCAAGAGGAAGCGATAAGTCCGGGGGGGGGGGGGTAGAATCTATTCTAGTTTTATAAAAGAAAACCTATGTTATGGTCCACAATCTATGTGGTGGAACCTTGCTGTGCAACATCTGTGGTGCAGGCGCCTGCTGCGATGTATGTGGCGCAGGCTACGTGGTGTAAGCTCCGTGGTGCGAGCTAAACGGTGTCTACGCGGTGCAACCAACGCACGAAGCGCCCAAACTTTGAAACGCTAACTGGCGCATGGGGCGCCCACGACAGGCCCACGGGCGGCCATGTAGCGAAAACCTGGTAAGGCCAGCCAGCCAGCGCAAGGCGCCCACGAAGCGCCCGAGGGCGACCGCTGGTCGACAACCTCCTGAACGCACGGTGCATGACCTAGAAGCCGAGCCGAAACCCTTCAGTGCATGCTGTTTGGGGAACAAGAACAAGTAGGAAAAACAATGGGGTGGCCACATGTATCGCCGAGGCGTGTCCGAAGCATGAACCCTTGCAGTGTAGTCATGAACGACGTTATTCTGAATATCGGGGCCCAGGCTTGTCAGAATGGAAAGGTGGGTGTGGTCGTTCCGAGAAAAAAGGTTCGGGGTTTGGGTTGGCGGCGTTGGCATCGGTGGACGGTGGCGCCTCGTCTATATGGTCAGTGGGCCACAAATAGTCGTCCGCATGGCGAGCTATGATGCGACTCGTCGCATAAGTAAAATCCGCCAACCTCCTAGATGCCTCCAGCCCCGCCGAAACTAGCCTCACAATCGCATGGAAAACCATGAACACAGCCCAAGAAGGCTCCACGAGGACTCCCGGTAGGACTTGGTGATATCAAGATCAACACTTGTCCAAGAACCTCTTGTTGACTATCTTGGCGTTCTCGACTTTTCGAGCGTCCGTCAGCCCATGACTGCTCAAGAGGCCACCAAAATTTGAAGCTGGTCGGAAGGCCCAACCAGATGCTTCGCCTAAGGCGAAGCATACGTCCAGTCCTGTTGTACTGTATCAACGATAGCCCCAGAAGTAGGAGTGAGCCGCGGGAGCGGCAATAGATCTCAAGCGAAAAGGATGATGCATTTTCGGTCTCGACGCATGGTAGTGCGCCTCAGAGAGGCACAGTCAAATAGGCGGCCGGGCACTGGGCCGAAATGGCCGCGGACAAACGCTCGATACATTTCGCCTTTGCCCAACCTCCTTCTAAACGGGGGGGAGAAGGCGAAGCGTGAATCCGCTACTGGCCTTACCCGGCAAAACAATTATAATTCACGAGGCAGGCAGCAGCAAACGGGCTCATCTACTGGCCACGCCTGTAGGGAATGCGTCGTTTTAGGTCGTGCTCGAAGGATTGCACTCCGCCCATGATTTGTAAGAGCATGTCTCTGTCGATGCTCCCCTCGGTGTGGCCATCCGCAGTCATATCGCGAGTGTCACACCACTGCACGCAGTGCACGATACCTCGCTCCACCATTTGCCGCATCCAACCAATGTGACCCAATTCGGCTCCTGTAAGTCTTTGCTTGACAATGACTTGACAACGGATTCAGCATCACTGGTCAAAATGACTTTAATGCGCAGGCCGCCCATCCCAGGTATATCCTTCAATTGAGTGGGCGTCAGCGGCCCTGCGCGGAGTTCATGCAGCGCGACTATCGTGGGATAGCAATCATTCAAATTGCGGGCTGCTGCGAGTGTTTCCGCGAAGTAGCTCGAGCGGACTTGCAGGCGATGAAGCTTGCAGTACGCGTCGGCAAGATGGACGACGGGCTTACCAGAATGCGTGCGTCCACGCCTTAGCAGGCTTGCCCCGCGAATGCCATAGCCTTTGACTTCGTTGTCGGCATCGCCGTTCAGGCGACGGTAGCAGGAGTCGCCATGCAGATCGACCTCGAACGGTGATGTCGTCGCTTGAGAAACTGTTTTCTTAAGGCAGGCCTGCAACTTCTTGATAATCGCGCTATGTCGTCGCATTTGTATATTGGTCGGTTCTTGGACACGCAGTAGCGATGCAACATGTACCAATATCCACACCTGTGCGACAAGGGCGCAAGCCAGAGCGCCTCTGAGGCTGACAAACACATCAGTGACCATCCCTCGAAGTCATGGCGATTGACGCCTTGGATACGCAGCGCCCCGCAATTGCGGATAATATTGAAAAGGCAGGCGCGGGGTGGGTCGCGGGTGGGTCGCGGGTGGGTCGCGGGGTGGGTCGCGGGTGGGTCGCGGGTGGGTCGCGGGGTGGGATGCGGGTGGGTCACGCGGGTGGGTCGCGGGGTGGGTCGCGGGCGGGTCGCGGGCCGGGTCGCGGGGCGGGTCGCGGGCGGGTCGCGGGCGGGTCGCGGCGCGCGGGGGGGGGGGGGGGGGGGGGGCGACGCAGCAAAACAACAACCATAATCTTCGCCGTGGATCCCCACTACAGCCGCGCACCCAAGGACAGTGAATGACCGTTCGGGCCCCCTCACTCTGATATCTTGTATATTGAAACGCTTGTTGCCAAATCATGCCTTGATTTCAATGCATAGGGCCTTCGCTACCATGACTGCAACCGCCTGAATGTATGCATTCGCGAGAAGGTCGCCCTCCTTGACGACTACAGCTCGTGTCACTGCAGAAGTCGCATATGCTCGCATAGTGACAACACGGTCGAAGTCCATTATCCAATGCCGTTGTTCGGGTAAGACTACATTTGACATTTCTGCCGTAAAGCAGAGTTCTACGTATTGTCCATGCTCGTCGGAGTCCACAATCCGTCGCTGTCATGTTCGCCCGTGGAGCACAATGGGACATGCCATGTCTCGGTTGTGTAAATGTCTTGAAGGTTACCCCGCGGAGGCAGGTGCCCCCGCTGCTCTTCAGCTACTGTGACCAGCGCTGTAATCAGAAATCCTTTGCGTGCGTGCAGTATAGAGGCCTTCTATTGGAACTGCCTCCAACAATCCCCTTTTCGTCTAGTAGTTCTGCGCGCCGCACTTCCATAATGTGTGCCTCGAGGTCCGCCTCTGATTCCTCATAGATTGCGGGAGGCCGGCCGTCTTCCTGTGGTGGTTCGGCTTCTGGCCCCCCCTGGCAACGCTGCCGCGCGCTGGCGTGTCGGCCAGTTCCTCGAACTTCGTCATATCTGGATCGGTGCCCGATTGAGGTTTGGTGGACCTCAGGCACTGGATGATTCTGGAGTGTGCTGATCTAGTTACGTTTTGATTGTTTAGGGCAGTGCCTTCAGCGTCGTACAAATGGAAGTCCGGGTTCACGTCGTTGTCATCGTGCACCAGCGTACAACTGTCAGTATACTTTACCGGAGGTAGCCCATGCATGCTCTTGGCTAACCAAACAGAGACCACGTTTTCAATGCGGCAGAAGTTCCTGATGAGGTACTGAAAAGCTAAATAAACCTCTAGAGATAATTGGCTCGCGCTCGCCATCTGGAGTACTCGAGTTGTCGTCGGGGGGGGGGGGTCCGAAGGTCACGGCAGGTCGC